CCACATTGCCATCATATACAGTGTGTACATTGTCATCATATAGTGTGTACATTGTCATCACATACAGTCTACATTGTCATCATATACAGTGTGTACATTGTCATCATCTATAATATACACTGCCATCAAATGCAGTGTGTACATTGTCATCATATGCAGTGTGTACATTGTCATCGTATACAGCGTGTACATTGTCATCATATACAGCGTGTACATTGTCATCGTATACAGTGTGTACATTGTCATCATACAGTGTGTACATTGTCATCATCGTATACAGTGTGTACATTGTCACCATATACAGTGTGTACATTGTCATCGTATACAGTGTGTACATTGTCATCATATGCAGTGTGTACATTGTCATCGTATACAGTGTGTACATTGTCATCATATACAGTGTGTACATTGTCATCATATACAGTGTGTACATTGTCATCATATACAGTGTGTACATTGTCATCGTATACAGTGTGTACATTGTCGTCATCGTATACAGTGTGTGCATTGTCACCATATACAGTGTGTACATTGTCATCGTATACAATGTGTAATTGTCATCATATGCAGTGTGTACATTGTCATCGTATACATTGTGTGCATTGTCATCATGTGTGCATTGTCATCATATACAGTACATTGTCATCATATACAGTGTACATTGTCATCATATACAGTGTGTACATTGTCATCGTATACAGTCCACATTGTCATCATATACAGTGTGTACATTGTCATCATATACAGTGTGTACATTGTCATCATATACAGTGTGTACATTGTCATCATATACAGTGTGTACATTGTCATCATATATGGTGTGTACATTGTCATCATATACAGTCCACATTATCATCATATACCATATACATTGACATCATATACAGTGTGTACATTGTCATCATATATAGTGTGTACATTGTCATCATGTACAGTGTGTACATTGTCATCATATACAGTGTGTACATTGTCATGTATCATATACAGTGTGTATTGTCATCATATACAGTGTGTACATTGTCATCATATACAGTGTGTATTGTCATCATATACAGTGTGTACATTGTCATCATATTCAGTCCACATTGTCACATTGTCATCATATTCAGTCCACATTGTCATCATATTCAGTCCACATTGACATCATATTCAGTCCATTGTCATCATATACAGTGTATTCAGTACATTGTCATCATATACAGTCCACATTGACATCATGTTCAGTCATATTGTCATCATATTCAGTCCACATTGACATCATATTCAGTCCACATTGTCATCATATACAGTCCACATTGACATCATATACAGTGTGTATTGTCACATCATACATTGTCATCATATTCAGTACATTGTCATCATCATCAGTCCATTGACATCATATTCATCCATTGTCATCGTATACATTGTGTGCATTGACATCATATATAGTGTGTACATTGTCATCATGTACAGTGTTTACATCGTCATCGTATACAGTTTTCACCTTTTCCACAGTCATATAATATAATAATGATTGTATAGGTAGATTGATTTATGCATAAATAGTAACATTGTAAAATAATATAATTAGAATGTACTTATACATGTTACTGACTGCGTCTATAATCACAAGTTCTAGTGTATATTATAAGGCTGTGTTCTCTCTTTGCTATTACAGCTCAAATTCCTCTCCCAACCACCATACTCAACCACATGTAGTGCCTGCCCATCTGTAATGTCGTAATATTTCTGCTGGTTGAACAGAGGCAAGTTTGAACAAACTCACTTGCCAAAGGTGAGACCATAGTCATGTATCACATGTGCTTCATTGTGGAGCAGGACTTACGTCCTAGAAACTCTTAGGAATGAAGCTGCCAAACACGGTCACCTATCCTAGGATTCTCTGCGCTCGACGTTGCTTAACTTCAACTGATTTGTGACCTGAGCTCTGTGCAGAGGATCACGCATCGCCACACATTCACCTCTTTCTGCCTGAAACTGACGTATATCGCGGTTTCAACTGCTGAGTAGCATGTTCATCTGCAAACATAAACTTAACAACAAAATGAGATCTAAAAATATCATGGGACCACTCCAAGGCCTAACAAAACACCAATACAGTTTGAGTAACGAGTATGGAAATTATCAAAGGCTGATAAACAAGCACGTGTGCACTCTTATGACTGTTTCCATGGCAACCAATTTTATTCAAGTTGGTATTTGATATTACGCTCCAAAGTTATTTCATCTGTTATTCAGGAACAGAAACGGATCGCTTCATCTTGTAAAACAGTTAATATTACATCCAACTGACAATACACATTCAGTGTGTAGTATTTTATCCAACAAAACTTTGTTATGGTCGATATTGATGTAGTGTTACAGACGATGCATGTCATCTGTTCACGTCATGATTGTAAACATATATATGTATAATATTACGCAGACGCGTAGGTGCAGTTAATGTATGAATGTAAGGAAACATTATGCAGATCAGTGTTTTCCTTCGCCAACAATCTAGGCCAAAGTTTCTGTCACTTGAAATGGCCGAGGAAAGAAAGCGAGATTTAATAAACCCTAATCTGTGACCCAAATGAGAGGTCACGGGTTCTCGCGAGACTCAGTGCTCTTCGTGATGAGGCCTGTCGGAAGTGATGGCATGTTCGGCTTCTAACTGACAGCCATGACAAGCGGAGAGGCCAGGCGGTCGAAAATAGTCAGCTTCAGTAATAGGACTTGACCACTCGTGATTTTCAGTCATAAAACCAGAAAGTGTGGCTTTCAGTGGCATATTCCAATCTCAAGATCCGCGCACTTTACATGGCAATATTTTGGATCTAATAAGCCTAATGTGCAGAGATTGCCAAAATAATTAATCGAACAATTATTTTATCTCTCGTCATTATTCGCCGAATCATGTAATTTATTGGGGTTATCTGAGTGGACTGTTTCACGGAGAGGTGAAGTGTGGTTTCCGAAATGGTTCGTGTTGACAGACAATTTGCAATTTCATTAGCAATATCCAGAATTTAATATAACTTGTGCTTTTATTGAGATTTGTTAGCGGTAAAAGCATAGTTTAATTGAGAGCACAGCTGCACTACCATTACAGGTGCATAATTCCTACAATTCCAGATATACATTGTGGTATACCCCACAAATCAACATGTGTAATGTAAAGGCTTGGGAGATATTGCTGCAAGGAAAATAAGTAACAATGCTTTTCAGAGTATTGTGAAGTGATGTTTACAATGACGTGACAATGAAACACCACCTCTAATCTAACTGCCACTGAAGCTTCTCACCTGTACACTTTACGCAAGATACCGCTGTTTACGTGTTACTGACTGAAACTTTGGATGATAAACTGAAGCTTCCCTATTTTCAACTCGTGTTAATCAAAAGTGACTCAGGTGTAATTCTCTGTATCATATTGTCGTATATAAGTCCTACATTTTTCAAGATTATGGTTCACACCATGAAATATAACATCAGCACTGTTCCGGAAGTTAGGCGACTGTTGTGCTTCACGCCGAACATTGTAACTTTCCACAAGCTGAGCTGAATAAAAAATACATTCTTTCCCAACCGAGTTACATAATAGATAAATCGTTCTGCACTAATCCGTTTACACGACGGGAGTGATTCGATTCCTTGGTTGTTATTTACTGCATATTATTTTATCCTATCCAACTTTCCGTCCAATTGTTTGGACGCGACTTCAAGTTTCAGATCAATTTCGTTATCACAGAGGAACTATTCCTCCCTGCAATGTTGAATACCTTTGATTTGTGGCTCTAACACTCGCCAAGTTTTATGTAGACAGATAAATAGTAATTGCAATGGCGGATTGGTTCCGGCTTCAACTCGGATGGGCCCCCGAGGTAGAATCGTCTCGGAAACATAACCGCGTTGTCCATTAGTTCCTCTGCACACAATTACTGCAGAAAGAATGGCAGGAAATCATTGCTGGGTTTCCAGTACGCTGATAGATGTACATGCACACAAAACCGTCCGAACTCTCCCTGCATATAGTACGTGTAGCAGTCCGCCAAACGCCGTCTCATCACGCCATCTGCCGGACCATGAATATGCATACGCGAAAATTAACGACTGTATTTATACTTTATGTGTCATTAAATCAGCAAACGACTGATCACAGCACGTGGAATGATAGTGAGGTTACACTACTGACGGCTTAGTTGCATGGATGGACACAATTTAAACAGCGACGGCCGAAACGGTGGAGGGAGTATTTCTATTCCGTTCCCCGTCATGCCATCAGATAGCCACAACATACGTGGTAGTTAGCCGCTAATAGACTGACAGCATCCAGGCGAGGTAGCTTTGTGTCAGAATCTAAATAACATGTTACTCAATCAAACAGAAAAACCCATCTACATTAATGCCTCAACTGTCATCATTCCCTGAACTAAACGTACTGTTTGACTAGAATCGAGAGGGAGATTAAATCCTTAGTCCAACTGGTTCCCGGCTCTCTTTGCGCTCTGACATGAATTCACGTAGAGAAGGAGCCAAGCTTTGTAAACAGACTGGATATTTGCCTATTTATAGTGGTGTCTGGTCTTTTTTAACGTTGCGACTATGCAGAGACGGAACCAATTAAGTGCTTAGTTTCGTGAACTGTACTTCGAACCTTACAGATGAGCTGAGCTAACATACACCAGGGAGACTATATAACGTAGATTATCCCTGCTTACACCAATGTATCGTCTTATCTAATGCCTGACAGTTCCCGTCGTGCAACTGATGGGAATAATATGTACATTTTGCATATTGTTACATTAACTTGCCACTATTTGATGTCAACAGTTTCAGCTGAACTATCAACAACAGAACATTGTAATGTATGTACGTGAATGCATGTTTACGACAATAGCACAAGCGACACGTTTGTGGAGCCTTTGCATACATGAATACAGTGGGAGGCCCCTGAAACGGAGACCTCATCATATTTGACTCAAGATGGCTGGATCCTCTGTAATAACAAGACCAAATACAGCAAAATTATTTATTTAGTATTTACAAATTTATTTCTCTCAAATGAAACAATGATCTCATAAATGAATATTATTCTAACTGAATGCGATGAAAATGGAAAGCTTACGTGGAAATCTTATTGATGTAGTTGATAATCAGTCATGGATAACAATAAAATATTGCATAATGACGGTATCCCCACTCAGCCACACGTCTGGCAATAAAGTAGGTCAAATCACAATCATACATACCGAGTTACCTGCCCTTACGTATAATCTGCCACCGTGAGGCGGTCGCGTAGTGTAAGGGGAGGTAACTCATCTAAATCCTACAAAACCTCCACTTGTGGGCGTCTATTACCCATGTTGCTAGCTACACCTGCAACAGAAGGGAACATCACAGTCGAGAAAAATACGGGGTAAAATATATGGGTTCCTTTGAAATAAATTCGCATTATGCGAATAACAAAATGAAAGAAACAACACGCCAGGCAACAACCAACCTTGCATCTACTGAGAATAGTCTCAAACAAACCAAACAGTGATGCTCACTAACCGTAGGTCAAGGTCAAATGGGAAGGATACCAACGTAAAATGGTATCAAAGTTCAAAGGCTAAAAAGCTCAGAATGTTCAGCTGATAGCAATGATGTGTGGTGCCTCTCATACCATTACCGTCAATATAATGTCGCAGTCCCAAAGCATGGATTTTCGTATGTCTATCCATTGTCAGGGCTGGGCTGTCTCGTTAACCAGCCCTCACAACGGATGTTCATTCGTTGACCATGATCAGAGCTGGATTGTCTGGGTGTTCAGCTCTGAACGTGGTTCATTGTACATGGTCGGGGCTAGGCTGTCTCGTTCACTAACCCTGAGCATGAACCTTCTGTTCTGCTTAACAACGGCCACGCAGAAACTACCCGTAACAAATGCTATAACTGTAGGTCGAACCTTAATCAACCATAGTAAGGTCCAGGTTTTAACATATGCCGGCCCTAACTACGTATAACCTACATAATTGTCTCCAACAGGAGGGGCACTCCCAGCACACCTCCACTGCGAGGCTACACGTCATGAAAGGACGCTATAGTTAAATACTAAGAAATATATTATTATATATGTACATGATGATGAGTATACGCTTGATCGTTGATGGCTCACATCACCGTGGGAACTGCGCTTCACCGTCGATTACAAGACTGATACCTACGAGTGATGGGGGTTTCCCGTTGAGCATTGCTGTAATGATATCGTTGAGATGTACGCACGTAGGTTGACTATTCGGTTTGGTGAAAGGTGGTTTTTGCTTGACGCGACCCGTATTTTTGACTTAAAACATTTTGTTCACAAAACCATGAACATCAGGTTACGCTTAACGAGGACACAGTACCCGCCTACTGGCCCTGACATTGCCAGCAGAAATATAGCTGGAATATACACTTGGTAAAATCGATAATAATAAACAGTCTTACAAGAACAGTCTTATTAAAAAAGGGGGATAACTCCGTAGTCACAAGCAACACAACTTGGTGGACCTACAGAATAGGAAGACAAACATGTAGACCAGAACGAGGCTGACGCAGATCGGGAACGAGGCTGACGCAGGTCGGAACGATGAATGGTGGTCTCAATGCCTCCATGCGCCAGCATGTAACTGACTCGGCTGCTGTAACATTCGTTGTTGCTTTGAGTGAGGAAATGAGTGAGAATTAGCTAACAGTAGATAGACGTATGTAACAAACGATAGTCCAGTACATGTTATCTATCTGCTTTACGATATACAACTGCGGATATGTATACAATATATGTAACATTTAGTCCAGTAGTAAATCTGACAAATATAGCACATTTAGAAATGTGTAGAGAAACAGGCACTGGTTAAAGAATAGTTCACTTCCACAAAGTGTAACTGTTGAATGAAGAGGCATATTTCTTTCTATTGTGCATGATAAATATCTTTTACAAACAGGAACAGGGGATAAACAGTGGAGAAAACATCCTCGATACATAACAAGACATCTGAATGATATACATGACCAACTGGAAGGCGGCTATTAGTACAGGAGAGGTTTATGTTAAGATTCAGATATTCATCAGGACTTTACAGTGAATAGTCTGAGGTATTTACACAACATTTACACTTTGTTGAAGCAGTCATAGAGGAGCGTTTCTAGCACGTGGAGCACGTGCAGCACAAAAGCAGTCTGAATGAACAATGTGTACACAAGCTTTTATGTACAAACAAATAACTTGGAATATATAGCACATTATGAAACAGAAGGCGAATAGAAGGACTGTATGTGTCTGTTTGTCCGTCGGTATGGAGACTTGTGCGTCCGTCCATAGAGGTTGGGGCTATAGTGCAATGGAAACGACAGTGGAAACACGTGTATCGCAAGCAAGTCACAGTACAGTAGTACACCTACAACCTCTCAAGGCAAAATTGAAATACACGTAAATTCTCAAAATGATAGTGAAGATACTCTCCAGGGTCTGTCATGTGATAAATCTTATATGTATTGGAATTATAAAAGAATATCTGTAGATTTGTAGTCAATAAATATAATACATAATGTACAGTGGTTACACACTACCCGCAAGTATTTCTCTGTGTTGGAGATTACGCACAAAAAAATCAGCAAAATAACTCTTGTTCGTCAGGACACACGCGAGGATATTTCTCTGTCTGCCAGATCCTCTTTCAGATATCCGAAAGCTTTGAGTTCAGTCGTATATAGCGCCAGTCTATCCTTGCACCTGCTCCCCAATCACATAGCTCTGATCAACACACAACACCTGAGGTGGCAGCAGAGTTGGACGCAGTATCGAAAGACAGATCCGTCCAGTGACTATTGCAACGCTCACAGGAAGTGGACACAGATGACCACGCCAATTCAACCCAGGCATCATAGAGCCGGGTGTCCAGTATATGGTCAAGGCGCCTTACGGCTAAGACAGACGCCTGATAAACCAGTGCATTGCCTAGAGAGGCACCTCACAAACCAGTTCATGACCCAGACAATAGCCTAATAAGCTCGTACTTGGATGAGACAGGCGTCCCACAAGCCAGTACGTAGCCAAAACATATTACGACCCAGTCCACTGACTAGACTCCTCACATATACACAAACAAGAATGCCCCTCACAAGCCGCTGTAGGACCATACAGGCGCCTCACAAGTACACGACAAGAATGCCCCTCACAAGCCGCTGTAGGACCATACAGGCACCTCACAAGCCATTCTAACGGATAATTTGAGCCAAAAACATTATAAACAACTTTCATACTGGTGAATGTTTTTGTAATTGTGCTAACTTCCTTTCAAGTCTTGCCTTTTCTTTCAAGGCTTGTTCTAAGCGTTTGTTGAGTTCTATCTCTGATGTCTTCCACATGACTAGCAGTTCCTCCTTAGAGATCTTCTCTATGCAGAAGATCCCGGGTATCGAGTCGTCCGCAGAACATAGATGATCCTGGTATGACTGGGTTTTGTGGAGTAAGGATCGAACCATGTTGTTTGTCTTGGGTAAGAGGGACTTACTATACATGGAAGACATATAATTGTGACTATCATCAGTCAACGCTTTGAACAGTTTGCTTTGATTTTCTAGTCGGTTGTTTGCAAAGTTATCAGTGGAGGGAGAGTCTTCGTCACCTGACACCAGGTGGCCGTTAGGAAGCGAGTCAAGCCGCACGCAGTTCGGTAACAATGGCGGACTCCTCCCCGCGCAGGCGGCGTACGACTGCGTGTTATTGTTATTGGGGAGTTCGTTCGGATCACATAAAGAGTCATCACAGAATGCTCCGTCCAATGAAGGGATTGACGAGTTCGTGTCATCCGTTCCTTTATAGTATGAGTCAGAACACCCGGGCTCCGACCGGTCCCTGCTAGCCTCGGACAACAGACACTCCTGGGAGTGGCTCATGTCTTCTTCTTCCTCCTCCTCCTCCTCCTCTTCCTCGTGGTTGCCCGCGGACGACGGGATGGGCGGAGTAGGTCGGTCCTCAGCTTTGGGCGGCTGCCGCTCAATATTAATACTGAGATCCTTCAGGGGGATCTCGATGATTTCTGAATCGGCGTTGCCTGAGTCATCCATCAAGTTGTTGTCTTTCATCTCCTGCATCCTGTTAACATCAATGTTAGAGTGTGTAAACATGTTATCAAAACATCTTGTCATGTAAACACCCCGTTAATAACAAAGCCATGTAAACACCCCGTTAGTAACAACGTCATCTAAACACCCCGTTAGTAACAACGTCATGTAAACACCCGTTTATAACAAAGCCATGTAAACACCCCGCTAGTAACAATGTCATGTAAACACCCCGTTAGTAACAACGCCATCTAAACACCCCGTTAGTAACAATGTCATGTAAAACACCCGTTAATAACAACGCCATGTAAACACCCCGTTAGTAACAACGCCATGTAAACACCCCGTTAGTAACAACGCCATGTAAACACCCCGTTAGTAACAACGCCATGTGAACACCCCGTTAGTAACAAAGCCATGTAAACACCCCGTTAGTAACAATGTCATTTAGACGTCCAGTCAAATATATCTTGTCATGTAATCATCCTGTTACTGGCGATTTGAAAACATGTAAACATCCCATTGATAACATCTTGTCATGTAAACACCATGTTAACAACAGCGTCCTACAGACATCCCGATCATAAACCATGAATGTAAGTACTCCGTTAACGAAGAAGCGGAGGACCATTGTACAGCATATCCTAGTTTAGAACCATTCAGTATCCTGTGTGCAGTCTGTTTTCAAGACATATTATTTGGAACTGTTCGCTCAACGAAATTATGTTAAGATTGTACAATCATTAGTGTTGCATAATGAAAACATCCGACTAAAATCAATGCTTATCTCTGTAAAACAAATAACATTTAAGGTAACATCATTAAATCATGTTCACATCCAGATAAAAACAATGCTTTATTACGTAATCACCCATCAACAAACAAAAATGTTTTTCTTAAATATGATATTTTTATAAGTTATTTAAGGTTAACGTTACAGACGCATTCAGCAAAATGATTATACACTAAAATTTAGATTTATATATTCATGGACATCTGGTAACATACATTCCTCAATATATAGTTAAGCTTACACTTGAATCCCAGAATCCTAAATCAGACTTGTTGATACGTTTCGTCAAGACATTAACTGTCAGTACTGTTCATAGAATTTCTTGTACATGTATATCCCGTTATGTTACCCTTCCGAGCACTAGCTCTACACCATAGCTTACTCTATCACGACCTTTGTCTTTATCTTTTGGAGGAAACCAAACAACTATCTATCAGAATAAAGCGTGTAAGTGAAGACACGTGGTGGAAAGAACAGGCTTAAGTTTGAATTGCTTTTAGAATGGATCACATTTGTTACACTGGCTGGAAGGACACATGCTATAAGCAGTTTATTGATCATCACCCAGGAAAGATACGGAAAGCTGTAGTTTGCTGGTTGTATTTGAAGCAACATCCGGCGAGAGGCTGTCTCGGCTCCCTGCGCTGCTCCAACATTCGCCAGCCTCATTTAATATTTATTACATTACTTTTTATCAAATTTAGTTTGCTTCCTCTGCCAGGTATTGCTACATGGGCACGTACATACACATCCCATGCTGTGGCGATCATTATGTAATCATTGGGCAGATTTAAACAGAAGGCAAATTAATCATCATTCTTCGATTTTAGGCTTGCGATTATCCGAAGAAGCGGTTTGAACTTTCATTGCCAAAACTCATTCTACAGAGAGATGAGTTAATGACATTCAGGTTGCTGTCTTGTTTACTCTCAGTGTTGTTATTTGCATGGGAAAGCGTTTTGTTGAATGTGTGCATAGATGTGTGGTGATGATTTCGAAATGACAGAGATGAAGGTTCTTGAGAGGCATATAGAAGTTGGTATTCAAGTATAAAACAAAATATTATGGATGTCAACTTCTTTTTATTGTATACACAACGTTTCTGGGTTTTTCATTCACCTGACGAAGGGGCAAGGGAAGCCCATAAACGTTGTGTGTACAATAAAAAGAAGTTGACATCCATAATATTTTGTCTTAGACAGAGATGAAGGTGAAGTTTGAAGACGCGCTGTGACGATGTATGTGCGTGTATATATGGCAGTGGAGGCGCATGCGCGTGAAGATATGGAGTAATGGTGATGAAGACAAAGTTGTGAAGGTATACATGTGCAGTGATGACAATTAGCTGTGTGGTGATGAAAGAATAGATGTAGTGTGATGAAGATACACATATGTAGTGATGAGAGTGTATATGAGTGATGAAGATGGAGGTTTGTGATGGTTATTATGAGAGGTAAGTGTAGACTGTGGTGATACAGATATATAGATGTATGGTGATGAAGGAATATATCTACAGTGTATATGCGCGCTGACATAATGGAACTACATTACAGACTATTCAACTCAGCTCTTGACAAGATCATCCAAGATCATCTTGGACCAGATTATCCTGTGATTTTAATACTAATTTCTCCACAGAAGCGCAGTTGTGATACAGCTATACAAGATAGTCACATTTTGGTTTCGTAGTTTAGCAACATGGCGAACAGCAACTATGCTTAGCAAGTGAAGACAGAGAAAAACCAAGGTGGGTGTGGACAAAGCCTCTCCTAATGTCATACCTGGTCCTTTCTTCGCTGATGTTGTGAACATAGAAAAACACGACGTTATCATACAGGGTCTGCATGTCCATGTGGTGAGAAACACCTGTATATGTCCTACTTGAAATCAACGTCTCACTTGCATGCTACATCTCCCGTGTAGGTTATAGTTTACGTGTACCATAGATCTTACGTGAAATACACGTATGCTATATCGAACTTGTATAACAAACCCTTGCATAGTTTATCTCACTTGTATGGTATATGTTACTATACTGGACAAAAATAGTTAGGGATATATGTAAATTTTGAAATTATGAATAATGATCTATTTATTCATTGTCACACTGATAAAATATCAATCATAAAAATACCAATATCCCTAACTTATTATGTGTAGTATATATGCCGGATACATCATGCTTCTATATGCTCTATCTCACGTGTACAATGAACCTTCCTTGTGTGCTTTTTTCACTTGTACGATACATTTTACTTGTATGTTTCATGTGACCTGTGTGATACAGCTCCACTGTATGCTATATCTCACATGTATGCTGTATCTAAATTGTATGTTACATCTCACGTGTACCCTATATCTCACTTAATCGATACAAAACGATACACCTCCCTTCTGTGTTATCTGACTTGTATAAAACAAACTCAGTTGTCGGATTCAGCTCTCGGTGACTATATGTAGAACAATGTAGTGATATGATGTAATTTTGTCACTGAATTGTCACTGAATTTCATTCATGTCAGTTTTGAGGTAGGACTAACTTTATCGTACACATGTACATAATCTTGAATCGTGACATCTTGCAGCATGTCGGTAGGATGTGAAGACAACGATGTCACACACAGGTCCGTGAACAGCTCCCCAAGGAGACTCACCATTTAGCCTTGGCAACGATGTCATAAAAGTTCCGATTTATCCGCTTCGTTTTCGCCATGTCAGCAAGTTTGTTTTTCTGCAAGAATAATATCCATTTGTTACGGATCTCCATTGCATGTAAATACATTCATTATATGTTTTTAGAGACCCGAGACATACAAACCCACATGTACACAAATTGGACCTTCTTACCCAAAATCAATAAATGGAACCTTCTATTCGTTAAATTTGTCAAAAAAGCATAATTTCTTAATAAAAAGACACAAGTCACAAAATAACAGAAGTAAAAAATACAGTTTTATTGTGCCGAAAGCGCCCGGGGATGTAAGAACAATTTGACCAACATCTATCAAGTACTAACAGTCCCTTCATCCAGCTGCCGGGTCCCCATCCCCGTCCTGAAAAAGGGGATTCATACTCTCGGCGTCATATGTTTCGATTTCCTTAGCCTCTAACGCTTCCGCGCCTATGATTGAACACTGTATATTTTCGTCTTCTCTTGTTTTAAAAACTGTCTGTGGCACTGCCTCCGTCCGTATTGTTTCAGCTTATTAAACCAGCGTGTACACCTCGGTGCGGACCTTCTCGTAAAGCAGAATACAGGACATACAGCTTCTTCAACCGCTTCCGACTAAAAACCGGTTTGTGTTACACTAATAAAACAATATTCTGATCGCAAAACGTAACTTTTCTTTATGTATTTTGTGGATACACTCAAACTTGTGAAGAATCAATTATGTATTTCGGAATAGAAGATGTGAATTCACACAAGTCTGCCGCTGTGTCTCAAAGGTACTACTGATACTATCCCTCGGAACACTAGATGTGAACACTAGATGTGAACACTAGATGTGAACACTAGATGTGAACACTTGAGGTGAAAACTCGAGGTGAACGCTTGATTGAAATACACACAAACATTTGAGGGATAAAAGCATTCCACTCGAAACCCTGGTTGAAAATACACACAATAATTGGGGATTCAAATAATTTCACTTGGAACACACACGAATATTTGAGAGTTACATAATAGTAACTTTCACTCGCAACACCTGAAGTGGAAACACACTCCAAACAATGAAGTCTTTACATTCTTTCGACTTTTAACACGACATGAGAATGCACAAAATGATTTGAATGAGTATGTCTGCCTTTACATGACTTAACTTTGAAATATGATGACCCCACCCCACAGAACAACCTTAGGGATTGTGTGACTGTCAGATCAAGATTTCAATCTTCAGGTTGGTGTGCTGTTCCAGGAAGTAAACTAAGTTAACTAAGTATGTCAGTACATTGGCTATACACTATTAATAATTACGTTAAACAATAATTTTATTGAATTTTACCTTATTTTTCATTTCACTTATATTTCTTACATAAATTATATGTAGAAGATGGTATGCCGGCAGTTATGAAAGTACCCACTATGTTAATACTGACATTGCTTAGTACTTACTGTCAGGATAACATTAATTAACAAGGACGGTTGTAGTTTAAAAGTGCGAATACCAGACAAAGTATTACTGATATCTAAGTAGTTATATATCTATCATTAAGATATAATTCAGAAATCATATTTAATTATCAACTGACAATCTAGTAAAGATCTATATATTATGACCATCCAGCTATTATGCATGTTTCGTTTCGTTTTAGTCTTGAGGTTCATATTTTGGTCGTTCAAGGGGAGACTACTCTAATTTGTTTATGTCGCATTGATCTACAATGTGTTGTGTTGTATGTCATTCCTTTGGATGGATTAAATACAGCTTTAAATTACAATGTATATGCTTACATAGTATTCAAACAATGCAACGAAGGTAGGTCACACTATGGCAGAAGTTCGTGCTCGTTTCGTGGGCAGTTTGTTTTATTCCAAGAAATGACATTCAACAACTATGAAGAATCGGCTTCCACAAATCATCATCTTAGAACTAAATCCTATGCTGTTGGTTCTAACTGTACATTGTGACTGTTATTGTTTCATCGGATCAGGCCATATAACCACAAGGCGATTGCTATCTCAGGAATCCGAGTACATGGAGTTAAGATCGACATAAGGCAGAAACTCGGGTAACTTCAGACAAAGATAATCTTAATTCTTAGTGGTTAAGGTTAGTTAGGGTTGGTTTGCGGGACGGGGATCAGAAGATGGAAAACGCCAAGAAAGCGTATTTAGTGGACAAAGACGAGAATCGTTTGATGATTTCAGTAACGCCTTTCTTTTTCAGCGCAGGAAATAGGGTGTAGTTTAATCACCATCAGCAGGCTGGCTGGCTCCATTTTAACAATTCATCAAACAATACCAAGTACTCGTACACAAAATGAATTATTCCTTAATAGGCTTAACTCGCGGAAAGTAATCAGGCCTTTGTTTTGTGGCAGTGGCGGCGAGGAAAAGCGCCTTCAGCAGTTTTACGTAACGACAAAGACACGCCGCATGTAGCCCAATCGATGACAGAGTTATGCTTTAACGCATATTCAGGATACATTCCACACATATTCAGTACAGATTCAACACATATTCAATAGATATTCAACACACATTCAGAATTCAGTTTATTGTTACCACGACAGGGAGAAACAGATATGCATATTACATAAAGTTTGTTTGTTATAAAGGAAAAAATAACTTCAACGAATATTTACACAGATATACACATTGGCTTTCAGTCCTGCTGTTCAATTAGATCTGACATATAGATTCAACTAACGCCCTTTGTCACCTTTATAGGGACAGTGTATGTTATAAGTATCAAAGTCGAGCTGTTATAAAGGCAAGTTAGGTCCAGTATTTCCTGCATTAGTCCATGGGCCTTAACGTATAATATGTCCTGTGGTAAACAGGCAAAATGTGAACGGACGAGTTAGTGGTGAATTCTATTTCCAATGAAATATTGAAACTTGTAAATGGACAGGCGTTAAAGGGGTCAACGTCATTACAAGGTTTCGCATCTGTATTACTTAACCGGGGTTTCCATCCCGAAACATCAACTGGACAGTACATTCTCCTTTAAGGAGTGTGTTGAATGTTGCAACATCAAACACTGCACTTACAACATCAAACACTGCACTTACAACATCATACACTGCACTTACAACATCATACACTGCACTTACAACATCATACACTACACTGCCACAAAAGGCGACTATGCTTGTTACGTAAGAGGCGACTAACGGGATCGGGTGGTCAGGCTCGCTGACTTGTCTGACACATGTCATCGGTTCCCAATTGCGCAGATCGATGCTCATGCTGTTGATCACTGGATTGTCTGGTCCAGACTCGATTATTTACAGGCCACCGCCATATAGCTGAATTATTGCTGAGTGCGGCGTAAAACTAAACTCACTCACTCATACACTACGCTTTCAACATCACACCCTGCACTTTCAACATCACACCCTGCACTTACAAAATCACACACTGCACTTACAGCATCACACACTGCACTTAACATCACACCCTGCACTTACAAAATCACACTTACAGCATCACACACTGCACTTACAAAATCACACACTGCACTTACAGCATCACACACTGCACTTGCAACATCACAACCTGCACTTACAACATCACACACTGCACTTACAGCCCTAAAACAGTACAACTCTGAGTGTCGTGTTTGTCAGTGACGCAGTAGTCACTGTGTAGATGTTGTATTGAACTGAAAAAACATTGTCATCCTTTCGTCTCCCTGTCAACTTGCTAAACGAATTGGACTTTCACAGTCCCACCCACTCTCTACTTGTCATGCCTTACCCGAATGGTACTTTTCTGAAAGAGCCGGGCAAACTCCCGATTCCGCACAATGCAGATCATCTCCTTGGCTGAATCATGCGCAGAAATTAGTTCAGCACTTGTCACTGCTCTGTGGAGACGCTGAAATGAAACAAAATAGACGTTGCAGAATATCAGCAAGTTGTGGAATAAGAGCGAGGTCATTTTAAAAGAGAGAGGCTGTTGGATTAGGGAGGTGTTATGGAATAGCAGGGAAGTTAGGAAAAGAGGGCGGGTGTGGAATAAGAGAGTGGCTACTGAGGAGATAAGGGAGCGGTTGTTGGATTAGGGAGGGATATGGAATAGGAGGGAAGGTAGGGAAAGAGGGCGGGTGTGGAATAAGAGAGTGGCTACTGAGGAGATAAGGGAGCGGTTGTTGGATTAGGGAGGGATATGGAATAGGAGGAAGGTAGGGAAAGAGGGCGGGTGTGGAATAAGAGAGTGGCTACTGAAGAGATAAGGGAGCGGTTGTTGGATTAGGGAGGGGCTATGGAATAGGAGGGAAGGTAGGGAAAGAGGGCGGGTGTGGAATAAGAGAGTGGCTACTGAGGAGATAAGGGAGCGGTTGTTGGATTAGGGAGGGGCTATGGAATAGGAGGGAAGGTAGGGAAAGAGGGCGGGTGTGGAATAAGAGAGTGGCTACTGAGGAGATAAAGGAGGCGGTTGTTGGATTAGGGAGGGATATGGAATAGGAGGGAAGGTAGGAGGAAAGAGGGCGGGTGTGGAATAAGAGAGTGGCTACTGAAGAGATAAGGGAGCGGTTGTTGGATTAGGGAGGGGATATGGAATAGGAGGGAAGGTAGGGAAAGAGGGCGGGTGTGGAATAAGAGAGTGGCTACTGAAGAGATAAGGGAGCGGTTGTTGGATTAGGAAGGGGATATGGAATAGGAGGGAAGGTAAGGAAAGAGGGCGGGTGTGGAATAAGAGAGTGGCTACTGAAGAGATAAGGGAGCGGTTGTTGGATTAGGGAGGGGATATGGAATAGGAGGGAAGGTAAGGAAAGAGGGCGGGTGTGGAATAAGAGAGTGGCTACTGAAGAGATAAGGGAGCGGTTGTTGGATTAGGAAGGGGCTATGGATTGGGAAACCAAGAGTGATATAGGTGTTAGACGTTTTCCACTTTGGTTGCACTAACGAAGATTTACAGAGTGCAGACAAACCTAGAAACACAATTAGGCCAAATCGGTATTGAACCCATGGTCATAAGTTTCAGGAACTACTCAAGACACGCACAGCGAATTGCGATACATTGGACAGCTCGGTCATCAGAGACACACAGGTTTCAGAAAACCCCGGTCAGCCGAGACAACAAGCCAGGCAACAAATCCTCGTACGACCAGCCTATTCTGTTGCGGAAAGCCCGTGAGGTTATGGGAGACGAGAGATAATCAGTTATGGAACAAGAGGTTATAGAATTACAGAGTTCATTGTCTATGACTACATCAGACAAAGCTGCATTCATCATAATTACAGTAAATCGTTAATTGAGTCCTTTGTAAGTGTCCTGTCTTTTAAATGTAACTATACGCCTTTACAGCTACCAAATACATATTTAAGCTACATAAAATGTTACAAAACTGTTATGTTGTTTAGGCTTATATAGGCTTATATGTCATCTACGAATCTTCAGAAATTAGGGAAATTGAAAAGAGAGGGACAAAAACATTAATGTTACAACCTACATAGAAATATAAACAAACGGATTGGTTTCGGATATCAGTGTCGACTGTTCGAACGTCGGTAGGTTTACCATATTCTGGAGATGCATTTGTACCAGCTCATCGGTAAAAATACAAGCAGCACTTCATATTTTATTGGTACCCACTGCTTATAATCCCATTTCGAGCTTAAACAGTACACATTAAGGCCAGTCTTAATGGCGGAGATGTAAAGAGTAACCCGAACTCCAAATTCAGTCGAAACTCCAACCAACCCAAAGTATCTCAACCCAACAGGGGGTTGTAAGCCAGTGGTTAAAACGTTCGCTCGTCACGCCGAAGGCCCGGGTTTGATTCCCCACATGGGTACAATGTGTGACGCCCATTTCTGGCGTCCCCTGCCGTGATATTGCTGGAATATTGCTGAAGGCGGCGTAAAACCCAACTCATTCAGTCACTCAACCCAACAGGCATGTCATATACTGGTAATATTATCATTCAAGTTACTGAAAGGTTTAATCATTATACAACACAGGTATTCTTATCTTCCAGATTGCTCAGGTTTCATATACCATTGCTTAGGAGAAACAGAATAACGGTACATTTTTATGTAATTAAGAATTTATGTTATTTAACTATGAATCGTTGCTACAACAGTTTGTAAATAACGATGGGGCGGTGGGGTGTTCGCTTGTCACGCCGAAGACCCGGGTTCGATTCTCTACATGGGTACAATGTGTAAGCCCATTTCTGGTGTCAACCGCCGTGATATTGCTGGAATATATTGCTAAAAGCGACGTACACTAAACTCACTCACTCACTGTAATAAGCGACAGGATAATGTATACAAAAAGTAGAATTGTTTAACTAAAAAGTGAAAATATATGATTACAGCAGCATGACTCCTGTCATGTTTGTGAAATATTAACAAATACGAAGTCTTCTATAGCAAAGTTTTGTACCAGGCGATGTTTTTTTATAGTTATTAGCCTTTTAATAAATTTATATTTCCAAATATATAACCATATAGACGTATACCTTGACTGTCGCCAGCACAGTTTGTTGTTTATGGGTGTGGAGATGGTTTTGTCGCAAAAAATTTTTAGATGACGTACTGAGTTACGTATTGATAACGTACTGAGTTACGTATTGATAACTTACTAACTTAACGGACTGATAACATACTGACTGATAAAGTCAACAGAGGTGTATTTTCTGTTGATAACGTAGTGACTGATAAAGTCAACAGAGGTGTATTTTCTGTTGATAACGCAGTGACTGATAAAGTCAACAGAGGTGTATTTTCTGTTGATATAACGTAGTGACTGATAAAGTCAACAGAGGTGTATTTTCTGTAACGTAGTGACTGATAAAGTCAACAGAGGTGTGTATTTTCTGTTGATAACGTAGTGACAACAGAGGTGTATTTTCTGTTGATAACGCAGTGACTGATAAAGTCAACAGAGGTGTATTTTCTGTTGATAACGTAGTGACTGATAAAGTCAACAGAGGTGTATTTTCTGTTGATAACGTAGTGACTGATAAAGTCAACAGAGGTGTATTTTCTGTTGATAACGTAGTGACTGATAAAGTCAACAGAGGTGTATTTTCTGTTGATAACGCAGTGACTGATAAAGTCAACAGAGGTGTATTTTTTGTTGATAACGCAGTGACTGATAAAGTCAACAGAGGTGTATCTTTTGTTGATAACGCAGTGACTGATAAAGTCAACAGAGGTGTATTTTTTGTTGATAACGTAGTGACTTATAAAGTCAACAGAGGTGTATTTTTTGTTGATAACGCAGTGACTGATAAAGTCAACAGAGGTGTATTTTCTGTTGATAACGCAGTGACTGATAAAGTCAACAGGGGTGTATTTTCTGTTGATAACGTAGTGACTTATAAAGTCAACAGAGGTGTATTTTCTGTTGATAACGTAGTGACTGATAAAGTCAACAGCGGTGTATTTTCTGTTGATAACGCAGTGACTGATAAAGTCAACAGAGGTGTATTTTCTGTTGATAACGTAATGACTTATAAAGTCAACAGAGGTGTATTTTCTGTTGATAACGCAGTGACTGATAAAGTCAACAGGGGTGTATTTTCTGTTGATAACGCAGTGACTGATAAAGTCAACAGAGGTGTATTTTCTGTTGACCCTCCGTATAGTTTTATCATCATTCGAGTCAACATTTCACATGTACTGGCATATAGTTGTGGCGTTTTCTGGCGAGTTTGTTTCATCACGAAAATGTTTTGCATATAACTCATTATGAGCTGGTTGTAGAGAGTGAGGGAGATGCCCCTTGGCCGACTCCAGGATTAGACTGTCCCAAACAGGTGACGCCAGACAATACATACAACAGAAAGGTTTCACCACGACACATGCAGTGTGACGGCGGGTCATTCATCACCATAGCAACCACTCGCAACGTGCCTCGGTATCGGTTTGTACTTGCCAAGTCATTAAATAACCCGTATTCCCTCATTTAATCACAAACACTACCCAGTATCATCGCAACACCAGCTCGAACTCCAGTCAAAGAGGAAACTCCAACCAAACCAAATGAGCTCCGCCCAACAGATCCACGATTCGCTTAACCAGGTCCCTTCACCTTCCCACCCTTACCTAATGATTTTTCCACATCCTCACCACTATCTCCGCATCTCATAACCCATACCCCTAGACTTCTCAAAGATATGCACAACTCCTCATTCCCTACCCAAAATCCTCTACACCTCTTCATTCTCAGCACCAACATCTCTCAACTCCTCAATCTCTTCCGAGAGCTAGGTCCTCGTTCACTACTCTCTTCAAAACAACCTCACTAAGATCTTACCATCCTTCTAAAACAACAGCTACATCATCGTTGTAACATCTTAACATCCTTTAAAAACATCGTCTGTCCTCATAGTAAACATCTTACCATCCTTCTAAAACAACAGCTATATCATCTTTGTAACATCTTAACATCCGTTAAACACATCATCTGTCCTCACAGTAAACATCTTACCATCCTTCTAAAACAACAGCTATATCATATTTGTAACATCTTAACATCCTTTAAAAACATCGTCTGTCTTCACAGTAAACATCTTACCATCCTTCTAAAACAACAGCTACATCATCTTTGTAACATCTTAACATCCTTTAAAAACATCGTCTGTCCTCATAGTAAACATCTTACCATCCTTCTAAAACAACAGCTACATCATCTTTGTAACATCTTATCATCCTTTAAAAACATCGTCTGTCCTCATAGTAAACATCTTACCATCCTTCTAAAACAACAGCTACATCATCTTTGTAACATCTTATCATCCTTTAAAAACATCGTCTGTCCTCACAGTAAACATCTTACCATCCTTCTAAAACAACAGCTACATCATCTTTGTAACATCTTATCATCCTTTAAAAACATCGTCTGTCCTCATAGTAAACATC